TCTCTCTCTCTCTAAATGCCAGTATGGAGAAGAAGATCTATCGAAATGAGATTTCAGGTGTTTTTTGGGTTTCGAAAGAACTGTGAACCTTCCTTCTTCCTCTTCGAAGGAAAAAGAGAGAGAGGAAAGTTAAAACCTTTTTTTTTTTGGAAAGAGTTGAGAGCTGAGTCAGTGAGTTGCAGACAAAAAAGACAACGGTAAGAGATAACAAATCTTTGCTAATGACGGATTTGCCCCTCTTAATAATTTCCGTTCCGTTTGACCCCACCGGTTTAATGTACAAAATAACCCCACCGGTTGAATTAGTGAATAAGAAGGATACATCAATATCAATGCAAGTACAAAATCTCTTTGAAATTTTTTGCTTATTTCACCAATTTGAAAGAAAAAAAATCAACAAAGGTTTCGCATATTAACATCCATTGTGTAACATTCGACCGGAATCGGTTTAAGGGATTAAGGGTAATCCAGTAAATCAAGGCTCTAAATTAAGGCCCACTTAAAAGCCCACTTGCCTTTTTATCCGAGAGCGAAAGCAAAGAATTTATATCGTGTAATAAAAAGAGCTGCAGAAATTAGCTTCAATCCAACCAAACATGGCCTTCAAGTTTCGCGGGAAAAAAAGAAAATTAATTCTTCTTCCCTCCAAATTTTTCTATCAATTTTTCATCTCTGTTATTTAAAGCATCGAAGATACTTTTTTTTTCTTTTCTTTTTAACCTTTAACGTCATAGTAAATTTTTATGTAACCAAGATCCCCAAATTCACACATAAACCCTAGATTCTACCTTAATCTCTGATTCTGAATTTTGACGATTTGTCCCGATGGACAAATCCGGTGAGATTGCTACGACGGTGATCGAAGTTGATCAAACTCCACGGAGGAATGTTCGTCGGAAATTGGTTCAGTCGACGTTGGTCCCACATAAATCGGAGGAGGTAATTCAGTCTAACGGAGATAAGATTTGCGATGCTGGTAATAAGGAGGAAGGAGAAGGAGGAGATGGTGATTTCTGTAGTAGTCAAGGGAAGAAGACGAGGAAACAGAAAGAGAAGACTCCGAAGAAGGTTGGTTCGATTACTTTTCATTGATTGGTTATGGTAGCTCGAAGAATTTACAATGTTGATTACTTTGGAGAAGATTTTGTAAGCTTTTTTCTTCGTTTTGATGCAGATGGTTAAAGGAAAGTCGCCTCGTAAAACTACGCCTAAGAAAAGTGCAGCTAAAAACGGGATTGATCAAACGATTGCTGCAAATGTCTCACCTCCAGTTCCTAATTTGAGGCTGGAAGCAAAATTAAGAGCTGAGGTAAGTGAATCATTATCAGAATTAAGTAGCTTTAAACACTTGTTGGTCTGCTGTAAATTGGGTCTGAAGTTTTGGTATTTATTGATTTCTATGTGATCAGGAAGATTTGAGGTTGTCTGCTGGTAAGAAATTACATCCGTTTTTCTCGGCTTGGAAAGGAGGTAAAAGAAATCAAGAAGCAGCTGCTGCAGTAGCAGATAATGGTGGGTGGTCGGGTCAAACAAGAGATAAAACCGTCACCATTGGCCCTATCCATGTATTTGAGAAGCCTNAGGTATGCCGTATACATATTGGGTGACTTCCTCGATTGTGTTTTACTAACTAAGCAATCTGAATAGCAAAACTTTCTTATTAGGATGGTGGTTACCGGACTATTGATTGGAAGAATTGGGCTTTCTGTGAGCAAACATCCACCACTTGGAGTCCTGATCAACAAATAAAAGTCGACTCTCTTGAACACCGACCCAAGGATTTTGATCTAAATGAACTTCCGATTCTTTCACATCCTGATGTGTGTGTCATTGATGATGATGAGCCTGAACAATGTGTTAGTCAACCAGAAGGTATCACAGATGCATCTCCGGTAGTCTTAATAGCCTACCAGGAGGATAAACGTGGGTACCTTGGCTCCTTAGATGGAGCAGAAGAGGTGACGAGCTATAACTTTTCCTTTTGGTCTGTTATTTCTGTTTCTTGTAACCATTCATGACAAAGGATCATTTCCTGCATTTCTTTTTAGGATTGTGAAGTTCATGAAGCAGTTAACTTGTCTGATCATGCTAGTGGGGTAGCAGACATTTCTCATGAACTGCAAAGCATATCATTTCGAGAAAGGTAGTAATTTTGTGGTTTGATATAACTGGTAGCACACATGCTTAAGTTTGGAATGATAATTTCTTAAAAAATAGAGAGAAATCACCTCAAAGTCCATTTCTGTGATATACTTGGAAGTTCTTTTGGGAATTTTTTTAACTCTTTGCAGAATGCTTGATCTTTAATTTCTACTCTATGCAGTAATGATTTCAGTGGTCAGGCTCGTAATAGCTTATGGGTAGATAAGTACCAGCCAAGAAGTGCCTCGGAGGTCAGACAATTTGAATATGCTGCATTCATAGTGGAATATGCATATTTATATCTCCTGAGATATTTATAATTTAAGAAAAGCACCAAACAAAAATTCCTCTTATTTTCTTGCAGGTATGTGGTAATGCTGAATCTGTAAAACTAATGAATGAATGGCTGTGCCTATGGCGTGAGAGAAGGTTTCAGCCAAGCAAAGACTTTTTGAGTAGCGATGAAGAGAAATCGCAAGATGCTGATTACAACTGTTCTGACAGTGACTCTGACTCGGAAAATACTGGTGCTGAAGACTGCCTGAAAAATGTTCTCTTAATCGTCGGTCCAGTTGGGGTGTGTGATAAGATATTCTGCCACTAACTGTTAGCTTTTATTTCTACATTGATTTCTGAATTTCATGTATGGGACTCTTATGTATTTGAGTATGATTGTGCCTGTGTTGCAGAGTGGGAAATCTGCAGCTGTTCATGCATGCGCTAAGGAACAAGGATTTAAAATCCTTGAGGTATGAACTTGTTTCCGCTACATATATCTGAAGTGTTTTATCCTGCAAGAGGAGCTTTTTTTCCTCTTCTGGCATGGAAATTTACTTCTGCAAATGATCATAGCTATGTAAGATGTCTCTGATGAATTTTGCCTACAGTCCAATGCATCAGAATGCCGAAGTGGAACAGTTGTTAGACAGAAATTTGGGGAGGCTCTCAAGTCATATAGCCTGTCAAGGTACATTGGAGTTGCGACAGTAATGGTTGGATCTGCTATTTTCTGCATTTCTATCTGTACATGCGAATAGTGAGAGCGTTTACATTCACACAGTTCGTTTTTTTTTTCAGGTCCTTAGACCCACTTTTCAGTTCCTGTACTGATGGCAATGGCATAGAGGATGTTATTGAAGTGACACCTGTATTACATATCCAGAATGATAGAGCTATTAACTTGAAGCCTTTAATTCTTTTTGAAGATGTAGATATTTGCTTTGCTGAAGATCGTGGTCTCGTTTCTGCTATCCAGGAGATTGCTGAGAAAGCAAAAGGGCCTGTGGTATTGACTGCCAATGGTACTATTCGTCCATGTTAAAATACTATTTTTTCCCCATTGTAGTTCATCTTAATTAATCTGCTGATGGGACCTGTAATACATGCATATCTACAGACAAGAATCATGGTTTACCAGACAACTTAAAAAGGATAGAGATATGTTTTTCGTTGCCATCACCAGAAGAGCTGTTAAGCCACCTTTCTACGGTATGTATTTTGATGCGTAAACTTTAATGGTTCATTAGGTTCGTCTAACAGTTGTTATTTCATAGGTTTGTGCGGCAGAGGAAGTAAAAGTTAATCCTGGTTCACTAGAGAAATTAACCAAGTTTACTGGTGGTGATATACGGAAAGCGATTATGCAACTACAGTTTTGGTTTCAGAGTAAATCCAAAAGAGGTATTTTGGACGTGTATTACTATGTGTGAAACAAAAAATTCTAGTCCCAGTGATCCACTTGTTAAAGACTATGTGTGAAGGTTTTGACATTTGATCTCTTTATATTTTGATTTCCCATATCCAGCCAGAAAGACAGAGAACAATGGTGATCCAGATCTCTTTGATCATGAAGCTGGTCACATGTTGCTTCCCAAGATTATTTCACGGGATTTTCCTTCTCAATTATCTCAGTTGGTGGAGAGTGAGATTGCTAAGGCATTATCCATGGAAGAGGAAAGACAGAACACAGTGGAAGTATTTGTTGAAGAGGTTGAAAACGAAAAAATGCTTAATAGATTATTGAGGCGGGGAACAGAAAAGAACAGCATACAAGCCAAGAAAGCAGCTATGTTAAGGCAGAACACTTTTTTTGAAGATTATAATGAATTAGAAGACGTCTTAAGTATCCCGTGTGAACTGAGCAACACGTCCTACCAACCACTGTCTTTCTCTCGGCCAAGCAGAAGAAGGAAGCTCAATGTTGTGATGTCCTCTGATTCAGAAGGCGAGCCTCTGAACGACATACTTATTACCATTTCAAAACATCAAAATGACGACAGATTAGTTGTCCAAGAAAATGGTACCTTGTCCTCGTGTTGGCCAGATATGCAAAAGGAAACATTCCCAGTAGCTGATCCTTCAGTTCCTTCCAGAGAAGAAATATTGGAGGCAAGTCGTTATCAGTATGAGACATCAAAAGTCTCTTGCATTAATGAGGTGTCTCAGTCACTTGATGTGTCCTGTGTACCAGAATCTTCATATATTCCAGAAACTTTAATGGATAGTGAAGCTGAGCTGTCGCCAAGAGCGGTGTCTTGTGGTCATTTTGATGGAAGAGTAGAAATTTCCATGAGTGAAGACGTTGTACCGAATTCCCCATCAAACGAGATATACATAGACAGATTTCAGAGTTTTGATTGCTCAAAGAGTACATGTGAGACCATTGCAGAATCTTCTGATGGGACAACGATGGAAGATTGTTTCAAAGAATATGTAGGGAGTTCCCAGAAGATGCAACAATTAACAGATGAATGCAGCCGTGTAGATTTTGGTATGATGTTCAAGACACCTCAGAAATCGAAGGTTGATACATCTAGATACCCGGTGCAAGAATCATGGGAAAAACTCTGTTCGGGTCATACTGATCTTAAGCCATACTTGGATTCAGAACCTGTAGAAGCTCCACAAGTTCTTGACATCACTCATCAGATTACCAACCTAATTTCAGAAGCTGACCTTACGCATTCTAGATGCCTGAACTTTGTGAGTACTACATTTACACTTCAGTTTCCTCTCTTTCCAGTTATCTTTCACAGTTTTCAGGTCAGCCATTTTTTAACTTATGGAATTCACCTGTTTAGGGAGCTTTGGAGCCGATGGTTAACGCTTCTGGAGATCTTGATACGTCTGGTTTATCTGACACACTTGCACAGATGACTTCCGCTGTGGCACAGCTAGGATTTAGTTTTTTCACAAACCAAATTGCTCCAACAGTCCCTACTTCATCAGCCACCTTGGTACCAGGAAGAGGATTGGCAGTAGTAGACAAGGCAAGGCAGGATTACACATCAAGTAGTGGAAGCTGCTTGGATATGAAACCAGAAACACATGAAGAATTGTTAAAATGGTATAATATTATCCTCCTAACGTATTTGAGCCTGTTGGTTTATCGGATGCAATGCAAATTTCTCTTTGAAAATTGTCAAATTGCTCATTACCAGAGTTGCTTTTTTTGTTCGAATGCAGTGAGCGAAGGATACGGCTTTCAGGCATATTAGATTCAGTAGTCCCTCCGAGATCATTGAAAGGTAGAGCTTTTCATGAATATGCATCATTCATTGGGCTGATCTCAAGAGCGGATCCCTCTAACTTATCCGGAGCCATGGAGAAAAACAGACGGCGAAGGTCAGTACCAATTGGTTCACCATAGTTTCCGAGTATGATTAATCGGTTTCTCTCCTAATCATCATTTCTCTTGATTCAGGTCAAGAGAAGCTCGACACTATCTGTCAATGTATTTATCCTCAGAAGATACCGCATTCTTGGGTCAACACAGCACATATAGAAGAAATGAATAATATACCAGTTTCACTTGTATAGAGATGTAGCTCCACACTTCAGGAAGAGTTTTAGATTTCAAACATGTTTACTCAGAGATAACTTAGCAGAGATCGATCTCTTGAGCCTTGCTGTAGGCAATGTGACCTTAATGCATAGTTTCTTCATTTATACAGAGAAAATTAAGAGAAAAAAAGACAGCAATTGAGAAAATGTATTTGATAAATTAAAGATTCTACATATCACAGAGACATAAATAGTAGGAACCATTATCTCTTCTATGAGCCCAAAACAAAACGAAAAAACAAAAAGGTTACTTTAATCTATTAAGGTTTATGAGTAAAATGCATATTTAGTAAAAATTCAACACCCCTTGTGTTAAATGCTTTTCTTCTGCAACAGACTGCACCAGTGAGTAGTAAGTTGAAATGCAGACTGGATCAGATCAGACTTTGCCTTCGAGTTTATCGTTATTATTAACAAGAGGAAGTAATTCCATCTTGTTTCTTGGGGTACGAGGAGTCCTAGGAGTTCCCGGTGCTTGCTGCGAAAGCATATGCCTCACATATCCATAAAACGTGCAGCCCACAAGCGTAATTCCGCATCCAACAGCATTCATATACGAGATTGGGTTACGGAATATCAACCATGACACCAATACAGCCACTGCAACCTGCAAATAGAATATGAAGAATGATCAAGACATGATTGCAGAAAGCTATCGGTTTACATGATTTGCAAACGAACAATAAGAGCTTAGCATTGCCAGTATTGAATTAAAAGTTGTTATCTTCTGTTAGTTTGGATCATCCAGAGCAATTCGAAAGAAAATATTAGTTAAGGGGTTTAATATTGTCTTTGTTACCTTAAGATTTCCAGCTACATTGAATGTAACTGCGGTTGTGGAGTGAATGACATAGAAGATAGAGAAGTTGAGACAGAAGGCTAAGACACCGGAACTGAATATAATGATGAGGGCTGACCAGGGAGCCGGGTGTGCTTCAAACCAACTCATAATTCCGTTGCCTTCCAGAAGTAATGCTGGTATTCCGAGAATCATTGTAGCGAAAGGCGCCATGTAGTATACTGTGTTTATGCTAAATAAAGAAAAAACAGAAAATTCAAATCTTGCTTCCACGCAGAAGAATATTCATAGGTTTACTTCTCAATAGGTGATGCAACTGACTGACTCTAAACCACAAATAGAGAGATACATCAATCACCTTTGTGGCTAAAACCAATCAAAGGACTGTTTTTTTCAATTTTGAATAAGATGGCATTACATGATTATTATCTAGTGCAATAGACGCAAAATGAGTGCATATCAAATCCAAAATGACTGTCATTGAAATCGGAAACTAAAGCGTAGAAACTGAATATTAATCATTAGGAGGAGACCACACCAAGAACACTGACCTGTCAAATTTGTAACCATGGAGAAGAGATTCAGCTAGAATGGTCTTTGTGGAAGTAGCTAAACATCCAAACAGAGCAGCACAGAATCCAAACATGTTAAAACTAAGCTCTGTAACAGAGGTAAGAAGAATCCCACCAACAATAGGCACAAGAGACGCCCAAATACGCCAGTCAAAGTATTTCCTCCATACAAGCCACTGCAACACAACTGCTCAAAACAAAAAGGAAACAAATCAGATTCTATTGAGATCACACTAATTCGCAAATCCCATCTCAAAAACCCTAACCTGTAGTTGCTGGAGTAAAGGATTTAATCGTCTGCATAAACGAAACCGGTATGTAACGAAGACTGACATTTCCCAACACAATGTTGATACAGAACACAAAAGACATTGGAAAAATCCTCCTCCATCGATCTTCTGGATCAACCACAATCAATGGTTTAACCTTGAGAACTTTGATCACAATATAAGCTCCAATCGATGAACATATGAAATGAACACATGAAACCGATAATGGAAACTTGAAATCCAGTTTCTACAAAATCAAAAACCACATCATGAGATTAGGTTTCGAAGACAGATCAGATCAATAGAATCAAAGGGAAAGTGACGGTGGAAAAAAAGTTACCTGGAAGATCCATTTGTTCATGATGATGACGGTAACGTTGAAACCCCACCACTGAAGAATCGCTAACAGAGATCTGAACATACTTCCTTCTTCCATATCTCGAAGAAATTCAGCGAATTTCGGAATCAGATCGAAAAACCCAGAAGAAATTAACGAGTTTTAAGGAGTGAATCCGTGAGAAAGATAGAGAGATCAAAAGCTGCGCAGCTAATAAATAG